TTGTTTTCCATGCCTATCATATGATTAATATTGTATTTAGATACAGACTCTTGAGATCACTCAGAGTATTATGGATAATGATGATAATGATGATGAAACAAAAGTTATCCTTTTTTCGTGTTGATAACCTATTAACTAAACCCGAATTGAAAGTTATCATATATATATAATATTCATTTTATTATTATTATTATATTATTATTATTTAATGTACTCTTTGGTTGGCATAGTTACCTGTGTAATTTGTATCCAAGGTGATGATGATGATGAAAAGTAAGGGGATGATGATGATGATGATGATGATGTTTAGATGATGATAAACATACAGAACGATAAGGAAGAGACATTTTTTGTCTCTTTGGCAACGTAAACTTAAAATACAATAAAAAATATCATCATAATACAATAATGATGATGTTGATGACGATTATTGTATTAATAATAATAATAATAATAATGGTGTTATTTGAATATCTCTCATTTTTTTTTCACTACCTGGAAATTTGTAATAAAATCTATTGTTGTTTTTGTTGATGTTCAGGTAAAACCGTTACATAAGTCGATAAGTCTGATTGAATGGTCATTTTCGGATAAAAGTGGCCTCATTAGCTTTTAAAAGTGGGTCAAAAAGTTAGAATTCAACTTGATGGTCAAGTGAAGGTCGTTTTGTAGAGATGAACATTTAACTTGATCTGAGTTTAAATTGAATAGCTAACGATTGTGCTTGTTTAATTAACCAAATTTTGATTCATTAATTGAGTTGATGGTTTTGTAGGTTATGATGAGAAAGATTCATTGTGCTTGATGGTTAACATGATGATGGAGAAATAAAAATTTCCCTTGAGATGCTTTTGATGATGAAGATGATCCTTCAACTTTTTCTCGACAAGATTTTGCCTTTTTTTTTTTGCTTAATCACTTGTCCATTGATTATGACAATGAAAAAAAAGGATGAAGCTGATTTATATGTGTACAGAAGATGCTGATTCTTGATACTTGCTGATGAGGATGAAATGAGATGATAAAAAAGATGAGGTGATGAAGATTTTTTCTTTGAAAAAAACTCATCGGTATTTTTTTTGTCAATGTAACAGTTATTGAATTTTAATCTCTTCTTTAAATCCTTGAAATACTCATGATAAACTTAACCCTCTCCAAACACGTCATGGTAATTGCTGTGATTTACATAAGTAATTTTCTGATATTAATAGAAATATAAAAAATTTTGATTTCTGTCAATCGAGTTCACATCATAAACAGAAAATGATGAAGATGCTGTAACCTTGGAAAAAGATGGCGATCTCATTATATTTACATCGTTTTATCGGATTCACCATGAAACTTTCAGGGAAACTTTTAGTCCAATAAAGTTAATAATTAGTCGAGATTAATTGCTAAGCCAAATTCTGATTATTTTCTTTATCCGGAAATTATGAATATTGATAAGTTTTCTCATTCATTTTCGATTGTGATAACTTTGAATTCTCTCTGTAATTATAAAGATTGATGATCATCGGAAGTTTTAATGTAAAATCTTGAACATTTCAAACGAATTTCAAAATCAACGAAATTATTGAATTGTAACGATGATTGTTCATGATCAGAATTATTAATATCCAAGTAAAAAACTTTGATTGGGAAATTTTTTTATCAAACCAATCAAATTAATTGAATATAATAATATTAATTATGATCACTTTTCATTATGAAATGAGGGATCATCATTATCATCATTATGATTAGTGTTATTGTTTGAAATGAATGTGAAAAAAAATCAAGAAATTAATTTATTGAGGTAATTATTATTATCGTAGTAATTAATAATCAATCAAATGTTATAACAATCAGATAGATATAAAAAATAGCAATAATAACAATAATACTTATTACAAATCATCATCATCTTGGAAACAATTAACTTTTGTCTCTGTATATCAATTATTACCATGTAATCAGTTGATTGTAATCATCTTATCAGATAATGATGATGATAACAATTGTCAATGAGATGAAGATGAAGATGATGAAGTTTGGTTTAAACCTAAACATGATTGACAATTGCTTGATTTCTGAGTCTTTGATATTTCACCAAAATGAAAATGAAACATGTTAATATCACATATATGAATCGAGAACTTGAGACAATTAATATTTTATCAATTAATTGGAAAACTGGGATATTCTGAATGAAAGATTACTCAGAATAAGATGAATGTTGGAATGAAAAAACTCAGGAAAAGATTATCTCAGTCTCTATGTTAACTGTTACAATGATTAAGATGAAATAACAAGATCTTCCTTCCGTATCTTCATCTTCATCTTCCTTTTCCTCTTTCTTTCCACAATCATCACACATAATAAAAAGAAATCCTATTAAAAATCTTATCCTTTTCCTCATCATCATCATCATGATTGTTGTTGTTGAAGATAATACAACCTAAGATAAGAGTAATGATGATAAGTCCAAGGTGAGGTTATAAGGTGAGAGATACAATGACAGTTAAGTCTATTGATATTATCATTTCTATGGATAAAAATACTTTAGTTGACTTTACTCTTTCTATTTTTCTTACTTTTCTTCTGTTAGGGAATTATATTATATCTGTATCAGCCTCATGTTATCATCATGGTTTTCACTGTTCATTTCAGACAGGTTATATTGAGCCTACTAGCCCATGAAATTGTCTTTAACCTCCCATGAGATTGACCTAGGCCACATAAAAATACACCAAGAGGTTATCAGGATATAATATTATGTTATACTGGAATAATATACCTCATCTAATAATAAAAATATCACTGTGATCACTGAATATTCAGATTACTTTTTTTTTCTTATCATTATCCTCACTATCATGGTTATTACTCTGTTTTTTCTTACTCCGAATTTGTTTCAAGTTACTGACCAATGGCCACTATTAGCTTTCTTATATTATACTTCCTGTTCAAGAGAAAGCACCATAGATCAATCAGTGAGAAGGCAAAGATATTCAGGAGTATATCATGATCGTGATTACCTTTGTGACTCTCTCTCTCTCTCTCTCTCTTGCTCCTTTTCCTTGTTAATAATCTCTGAAGTTGATTGAGCAAATTAGAAATTAAATGAAATCAGCATGAGAAAAGGAGGATGTGGTTGAGTAAGAGAAGAGGATGGAAAACAGTCTGAATATAAACAAGATTCTTACATTTTCAATGAACTTCATGGTAACTTTAGTCTGAACTTCACCTTGATGTGAATTCATTCATCTTGAATAATTGTTAACATTTTACTTGTTCATAAAGTGAACTAACTTCCCTCATCCCAGTTTAACACTACTACTATTCAAATGGTCAGTTAAAAAATAACATTCATCTTCTGTCCATCAATCTTTTAACATATTGAAACTGATTTTGCTTTTATTCAATTTGTTTTCCTATTTATCATGATATCAACATTTTCTGTTGATTGTTATTAAATAATATCTAAATCATTTAAATCAATAGATTATTATTATAACAAATTTCAAGGAGGAATATGTAATAAGCTGTATCTAGATTGGATTTTGCTAATTGTATCAATTTATCACTAGTTAGGTTGTTACTTAGCAGTCTTATTGCCGATATCACAATTTATCATCAACTACAATTGATGAAAATCATTTAATTATCATAATTTGTATCTCAGGATTAACATTGTTACTTGATTATTGTGATTAATGATTTTAACTTTTTGGTTTCATCATTAATTCAACTAATCATTATCATTAGCATTTTCATCTTGATGATTTAGTATTAAATATAAATGATATCAACAATTTTGACTCACTTAATTTATTTACAAATAAACAATTAGAATGACTGACCAACTAATTGATTGCATCTTGACCCAATCAAGTTTACCTTAAGATGTTGACCCAGAGATTATCTGTCATCTGATATCGTCCGTATCCCTTGTCCACCCACTTCCTGAATATCCTCATCTTGTTACAAGTAATTTCATCGTCATCATATTGCGAAAACTTTATCATCTTCTAACAATATTGAGTCTTTTTCACTTTGATTATATTTTTGATCCTTGGTCACCTTCATTAATCTGTAATTAAGGCTTTAGACACAACAACCATTTACTGGACAATCTGTTAACAATTACTTTATTTTCTTGAAGGACTATTTAGTGATTAGTTAATTGCAGTTAACTTTTTGTTTTTCTCAATCAACTTAACTAACTTTTCGGCAACAACATTAAATATAACAGCAGCTTTCAATCATAATAACACCAAAGACCAGCATGCAACAAACAATGAAAATGAAATGGATCAAAGTACAGTTACTCTAATAATTATTTCTATATATTAAATTATCTTTATGGACAAAATTATGATGAGAGGGGAAAGATATGGAACAGAGTGAGAGAAAGAGAGAGAAAAAAATTGTGAAGAAAAGTAAAAGTTTCCTTTGGTCAAATTGATATTAAAAGACCATAGACTCGACAAAGGTGATGGAGATAAAGATGAAGATGAAGATGTGGGAGGATGGAGAAGGTGAAAACTCTCTCTCTCTCTCTCTCTCTCTCTCTCTCTCTCTCTCTCTCTCTCTCTCACTCACTCACTCTATTTCTTTTCTTTTCTTTCTACCCTCCTTTCTGACAGTTTAGTTGACACAGATCATTTATCATCTGTTTAGTTAATATACTAATCATATGTTGATTAAAGGGTTAGCAATGGATTGAAAAAGTTGAAGTTGATTTAGATTGAGATTCAAAGTTAATCTTTATTTGTTTGGGTTCAACTGAAATTAATCATTGATTGTTGATTACTATTGTTGTAATTGATTAAAATTTACAACATAAATTATATTTAAAGCTACTTTTTTTAAACAGTAACTTATTGTGATCTATGGTAAAACTGATTTATCATATTTATCTTATGTTTGTTTATGTTTTCGTGAAATAATAATTTTTTTTTTGAAAAAACTTTATGTTTACCGTTATAATTAATTGTTTTTTATTTTCATTCCTTTAGGTAAGGAACTGATTACATCTATTAACGTTCCCGATATGAGTTGGGACCAATGTAAGTTTTATGTCTCATGTTATATTAGTATTTATTAGCTTTAATTACTAAACAATTAATTTAGCTACCTAATGAGAAATGAGATTTTGCATAAATTAAGAAAATTTTTCTTGTGAATTTCATTTGAAAGCATTGATCTCAATTCAATCATGAACCATTTCCCATGAAATTGAAGCGATTTTGAGGAAACATAACTGAATCTGAATATAGTTGTGATTCCCATTCCTGAGCAACATTTTAAATTGATCATAATTCAATTGATTATTATTATGGTTTACACGTTATTATTTACGTAATTTTTTTTATTCCAAATTTAATTCAATTCACAATCTTAAGTATGAGATAATAATATTGATGATAAATGGATTTGCTTCAATGTACACAAAATGATGATATCTTTTGATTTAATCTGATTTCTTTAAATTTTAAATCAAATTAATAGTTAAATCAACTAACCATGAGATTCATGATAAAAAAAAGATGTGAATCAAGATAAACATGTTAAATGTGTAAGTGAATTGAATGAATGATATTCAGTCTGTGTTGATCTGTCAAATTGTTATCTCTTCTCATTGTTGATTATCATTCAGAAATCATTTGTATCATTGATGATGATGATTAAGATGAAGAGACAGAATTAATAAAGTAGAAGATGAAAGATGAGGATAACTTGGTAACAGCAGCAATAGTGATAAACATGAGTAGAAAAAGCAAAAGAGAGAGAGAGAGAATTAATTTGTTCGAATAAGAGAAAGAGGGTGGGGTGGGAGGACATTTCACCCATTGGCCAATGATGAAGATGATGAGGGAACCCGAAATTAATTTGATCATCTTTATCTTTCTCTCGTTCCTCTGTAATTTCACCATTTAAAATGATATTATCTTCAATGTTGATTTTGTATCTTCCTCCGCATCCTTTAAGACAAATGAGTTGATCATCATCAGCATTTTTTTATCATTATCACGATCATCATAATCATCTGAGTCCTTTCAATGTATTCGAATATCAATCCTTCCCTGATTACTTTTTTTGCATCAATTATTGTCTTTGTTTAAGTGAGCGTACGGATGATGATGATGATGAGTAGAAGATGAAAAGATGATGAGGATGCTGGTTCAAGTGTTTTATCTTTCCCTTTCAAAGTCTTAATGGTTTGGAAAATGAATGAATTGATTTAATTCAAAAATATCTCATGATTCAACTGTTGAAGATTCATGATTATGATAGAAAAATGGAAATAGTTTGTTAATACAATTTACCGTTACTCAGATTAATAATATCGCTAATGAATCAAAACTTTTTTTTACTTCAATTTGATTGTTGTGTTTTTTTCCCTTGCCAATGATTAATTTTTTAATTTCATTCATCTGATACTCACTTAATCATTGAAGACTTTTTTTTACATTGGTTATTCATTGATAATTTATTGTAACTGTAATAATATTATCTAGTTATTAATAAGCCATGGGGAAAGGGAGCAAGTCAAGTTGAAACTCCCACTGATTGTGAAATTAATTGTCGTTAACTGGAAACAATTTAAATGTCATTTTTTCTGTAAATGTTATTTATTCATATTTAATTGCTGAATTAGCGAGTGTTAGTTGAGTTAGTTAGTTGATTGCATACAATTTAAATGTTTCACTGTGATTAAAATTTATCATTTTCTGTATCTTTAAACTTTGATCCTTATCCTCATCTTAATGTGTCAATATTTACTTAATTGTTTATTTCAATGTTACTCTTTTAATTTGATCGGACAAATTTACAATGTTTATCAAACTGACCACGGTCCAGTTATCAAAAAATTAACTTTGAATTGGATTTACCAGTTGAATCCTTTTAATCTCAAGTCTAAACTAATCTTAAGCTTAATCATCATAAAGATTGGAAAGTAATTGATGAGACAAAAGATTAACTAATAATCACTGAATTAAATTCATCCATTTTCATGAACAAGTTCACTTGAGGATAAAACTGATTACCATGTCAAAGAATCAAATTTCCTGATTGTTAACAATCATTTGATTCTTGATTTCGTTTAATTGATAAACATTGTTGAGTAACAACAAGATAATTCCTTTGATTGTTTGTAATCAAATCCTTTCATCTCTCTCTCTCTCTCTCTTGTTTCGATAATCCGGAGATTAGCCACCTTACTCAAACTGTTTCAATTAAATCACCGCAATAATCACATTAAACTAATCAATTAGTTGTTATTCGAAATATATGATTATAATGTAAAACTTAGATTATTACACTGTTAATAATTTTAAATATAACATAATCGGAGTTGGTTGCCAACTGGCTTTATACAAAAGAAAATGGAGGATGAGGATGAAGATAAGGACGAGGGAGCGAGGAAGAAGGGAGAGAGAGAGGGGAAAAAGTGGTTTGAGTGATGATGATGATGATGGTACCAGGTGAACCAACAGGTTTGTTCACCTGGCCAAAGTTGTTGAGACATCTTCCGGTGGCCATCCTCGTAAAGTCCCTTTTACGATAATAACAATCCAAACGACTCAGTCCAAATTCCATATCGAAGGTTGCAGTTAGGTTGTTCCATGTGCGATTACCAAGGAGTACATAGAGAATATTAAAGAAAATATAATGGTTATAAACTATAAGTTGTAAATTGATTAAGATGTTTAAGTTTGCGTTAATTGAATTTTTTTTTTTTTTGACTTATGACAATAATAACTAATTGTCTAAGTATATTTTTTTTATAATTCGTTTTGTGTATTTTTTTTTTGTTTCCCAACACCAATAATACCAAAGTATATATTATAAGTAAGATAAATTTAATCTAGTTGATTATAAATCAGCCCAATCCCATGTCGAAACCGGTGTATATGATCTTTGTTCAATAGGTTCAACTGGGAACACGAATAATTGATGAAAAGCTTTCTCATCTGAGGTTAAGGCATGTAAATCAAGGCCTTCTAGTTCAGGGATACGGCGGTGACGAATAACTGAAGATGGTTCAGTTTCTTTTTTCCAATCTTTCCAATTTTTATCGAGTGCGATGAAGTCTTCAATTTTTTCTTTTGTTGGCAGCTTCCCATGTGTTAAGAGTAGCTTTGTGGCCTTTTCATAACATTTTAGCGTTGCTCGAGCGTCTCTTTCCGATGAATGTCCTTGTATCAATGATTTTGAATTATCTCGATCCCAGAATTTAATGGCGAAGAATTTTACCAGTTTGGAGAGAGCTATTGGTTGTTTATCCAACGATTGATTGAACATCGTTGCGGTATCGACAACCTTTACTCCATAATGAAACAAAAATTCTTGATCTATTCCTAGATGTTCTAGATCATTACCACCATGAACGATAACTCTTTTATGAGCCAGAATCTCCTTCAATCTTGATTGGACATTAGTTAAAGGAACTCCATCAGCGAAATCCTCAATCTGAATACCTGTGATGGCTGTTTTCGGATCTTTCATTCTTGTCCAATTTTTGATAGACGCGAAGTAAAGATCGTGACATTGACCTTTATTACAACCAACCCATCCAACTACATTAACACAACCGACTGTTCTTCCACCACCATAACCTTCAGCGTCAACAGCAACCGTTTTAATCTTCTCATCAGGAGGTCCAATGGGTTTTAATAAAGCCAAATACTGTGGATTGAACTCATGATTTCTTCTGAACCAGGGTTTACCTTCGTAGACCGTGAAACATTTACGGCCAACGCTATTTGATTCCCCAAGATTTCCTGCAATTGACATGATGGTTTTATCCCTTTTGGGATTTTCTGGGCAAACAGTTCTCATATGCCCCAGTTCCAAACAGTAAGAGCAAACTCTGCACTGATCTCGCTTGTGGTCTTTACCGTAACAAGCGGTGCAATGACGATATCCAATATTAATTCGTTCTTTTGCCGGCAGTCTAGCGACATTCATTTCCTCGAACAGTTTACTTCTCATTTCGATCAGCGTGGAGAATCCAAAGGCTTGTATCGTCAGTTTCACGAATTTCGAGAAAGACGGATCAGTAGTGAAATACCTGTAATTTCTTTCTCGATTGTATGGGTATTTGAAGTGGAAATAGTCTGGTCGGATGTTTCTGATTCAACCAACGTGACGGTTCCAACTAGCGTGTACGACTTTCTTCTTTTCCTTCGCCTGTTCTTTCGATTTTACGAACGCCATTGGTTTGCATCGATTATTTCGTTCATCAAATTTCTGGAGCCACGGTTCATGTTGAATATTTGTTTTGTTTTTTGTTTTTTTTTTAACAACCTAAATTTCAAATAACTATGGAAATTTTATTAAGAAGAAATAATAATAAAGAAATAAAATAACCGATTAGTAAGATAATAAAGTGATTAGATAAAACATAATAATGATGATGATTGTTGGTTAAAATGATTAGAATGCTGAAATTAATTGTGGTGATTGTATTGTTGTTGGCGCTGGTATATACACCGAACGGGCTTTCAAATGGTTAACACACAATATGTATATATAGTTGGAATTAAGACACAGAGAAATATGAAAGACAATTCTTTTCCAACCAATACAAAATGAATACGTATATTCTTTTAGCTTCCAATTTAATTTGTTGCAATTGATCTCTTGCATGTCCACAAGCTCAATTTCAAAAGCTGGGACATCAGTTTCTAAATATCTTAATGCTTTTCTTTTATATCAAATGTATTGTTGTTTGAGTTGAAGTCGATCTCTTGTCCAATTAAAATTTCCAACAGAAAATGATTCTGATGGGGACAAGATGAATGGATTATTTGGACAAGTATAATTTTTTCCATCGATCGTTATATTTCGATTGATACAAAAAATATGGATGTTTTGTAACCAAAAGATTACTTGAGAAACGAAAGTTTTGGCTTCGTAGGTGAGCAGTCAGAAATTTTCCAATAAGCATTTGTTTCTTGCAAAGTCTCAGCTTCATCACAATGAAAGTACTCATCAGTTGGGGCTGGAGCAGATACAGCTTTGATTTTGTTAGTTTGTACCGGACACAATTGTTTTGAGT